AACAAAAATTTAATTGATGCTTTAACTATAAATGCTTTAAATATAAGTGTAAATAACCTATTTTACAATGAGGATGTGGAAACGCAGATGAAATTGAATGAATTAAGATGGATTTTCTGTCTGAGTTCTAAGTGCCATTCTACTTAAACCCATCCATGCATTGATTCCATTTCAAGTTCTTTTGATCAGTGAGGTCAGAGGAGACATTTCAGACTCAGCTTCTTAGAGCCCAAACACAACAATCTACTGTTGAAGGGCATATGGAAATGAGCTTTCAAGAAGCTTCTCTGTGACTGTCTAGAGTTGAGAACTAGGCACCTCTCTATCCTCTCTGCTTTTCTTTCCCTTATCTTTTAGGTTGGTCTTGTTACTTGGTCATAGCAAGAATGTACATGTTCTGTGTGCTGTTTTGCTTTGTTTCTAACTAATAGTTTACCAAGTTGAATTACTGAACCCAGTCTCTTGCAGCGAAGAGTATATACACTCACCTACAGATAGCAAGATTTTTTAATTAATTAAAAATGTGTAATGTCGCATTATAAACTTTTTTAAAGGGCTATCGGTGTTTTTTAAAGATTTATTTTTGTTTATTTTATGCATACAAGAACTGAGGTATAGGCCAGAGGTGCAGGGGGTGAGAGGATTCTCCAGAGACACAGTGGGGTGAAGAAAAGGGACATTCACTGAAATACACTGTTGAGGGGAACAGCAGGCAAGATCAGAAAGGTCTGCTGCACCCTAGGTGGGCTACCTCCCTGGCCAGAATAAACTCAGGCTGCAGCAGGGATAGCTTGATAGCTTTATACTTATTCCCTAGGCCACCCGGGAGGCCACAGGCAGCATAAATTTTGCTATCTTAACCACCTGAAGTGCATATTTAGGTGCATTCACTCTATTGTGCAATCAAATGCTAAAACTCATTTCAAATTACTAAAATAAAACTCTATAGCCATTAAGCAATTCCATTTTTCTTCCCCACCTCCTTAACCTTTGACAGTTCACCTCACCTTCTTTATGAATTTGACTATTCCAGAAACGTTGTATAAGTGGATTCATATCATATGTATCTTTTGGTGATGGATTTATTTCACTTAGTGTAATGTCTCAACATGGCCATGTAGCATGTGTCTCCACTGTCATCCTTTAAGGCTGTATAATATTTCACCACATGCCTGTACCATATTTATCTATTCAGCTGTTGATGGACATTTCATTGTTGTCACCTTTTGGCTACTACAAATAAGGTTGCTATGAACATGAAGGTACAAACACCTGCAAGGCTCTGCTTTCAATGCTTTTAGGTACATACCTGGAAATGGAATTGTGTAAATATATAATAAAGCTATTTTTAATTTTTTGAGGAACCACCACATTCTTTTCCACAGCAGTGTTACCGCTTTATATTTCCACCAACAGAAAGTAATGATTCCAATGTCTACACATCTTATCAGTGGTTGTTATTTTTTTTTGGATTTTGTTATTTTTTTAATAGCAGACATCTTAATAAATTTGAGGTGATATCTCATTGTGGTATTAATATGCATTTTTCAAATTATAACAAATGTATATAACAAATTATATACACTCAAATCATCCTTGAGTGTACTTATTAACAATTGTACATCTTGGAAGATGAGTCTAGTCAAGAAATAGGATTCTTCTTTTTATTTTTTTAAAGATTTATTTATCTATGTATACAGAACTGGGATACAGGCCAGTTGTGCAGAGGCAGAGGGAGGATTCACCAGAGACAGAGTGGGGAGCTGAACAGGCACTGCTGAGGGGAGCAGCGGGCGGGCGGGCGAGAAAGGAGAGGTCTGCATTGCCAGAGATGGAACTGAGCTAAAGCAGCGGTGGCCAGCTTCTTAGTGCTGTGCTTTAACCCCTTGCGCACCAGGGAGGGCCAAGAGTGCTCATTTTTTTTAAACCAGGTTTTGTTGTTGAATTGTAGAAGTTCTTTCTTTTCTGTATTAACTCCTTATCAGATATATCATTTGTATGTACTTGCTTCCCTTTTATAGGCTGTTTTTTAGTTTATTGATTGTGTTCTCCGTGCCTCCCTGTGGCGTAAGGGTTAAGTTTCAACACTATCATCATTAAGGCTCAGTTCTATCTTCAGCCTGGGAGCTGACCTACTTGGCCAGCAGACCTCTCCTGTCTCACCCACTGTTCCCCTCAGCAGTGTATTTCAGTCTCTCTGCTTGTTCTGCTCCCCACTCTGTCTTTGGAGGATAATCCTTTCACTTTCCACACTTCTGGCCTATATCCCAGCTCTTGTATGCATAAATAAATAAAATTAATGAAGTGTTTAAATTTTGATGTACTCCAATTTATCTATTTTTGCTCTCTGTGCTGCTGGTATGATAAATCACTCTCAATTCAACATTAATTTTTTTCCTGCAAATGTTTTCTTTGGGAAGTTTTGTATGTTTAAAACTTATATTTAGGGCCCTCTCTGGTGGTGCAACAGGTTAGGACACAGCACTACAAGCTGGCTGCAGCCACTTCAGTGTGAGTTTGATTCCTGGCCCCAGAAGTGACCCACATTGCATGAAAACCACTCCTGACCCTCCTGCTGCTCCCCTCAGCAGTGTACTTTCTCACTCTGCCTGTTCTGCTCCCCACTTTGTCTCTGGTGAAGCCTCTCACCACTGCTGCACCTCTGGCTTGAACTCCAGTTCTGCATGCATAAATAAATAAATATTAAAAATAACCCAAAATATATTTAGGTCTCTGCTCTAAGTTGTTTTATTATTTTCCACCTGGTCCATTATACTTCTGCTATGAGTGAAACCATCCGGTATTTTTCTTTCTCTTTCTGGCTTATCTCACTAAGCATGATCTTTTCCAGCTCCAACTCTAAGTTGTTTTATATATGCTATAAAATAAGGTTTGACCCCATCAAAAAATGGGCTAAAAAGACACTTCTCCAAAGAGGAAATGCAGATGGCCAACAAGCATATGAAAAAATGTGCAACATCACTCGTAATAAGGAAGATGCAAATTAAAGCCACTATGAGATACCACCTCACCCCAGTGAGAATGGCACATCTTAGAACAATTAGCAACAACAAATGTTGGTGAGGATGTGAAGAAAAAGGAACTCTCCTGCACTGATGGAGGGAATGCAAACTAGTACAACCACTATGGAAAACTGTTTGGAGGTTCCTCAAACTGCTAAACAAGGAGCTTCCTTATGATCCAGCAATCCACTCCTAGGTATCTACTCAAAAGACACAAAAACACTGATTGAAAAAGATACTTGTACCCCCATGTTTATTGCTGCTTTATTTACAATTGAAAAACATTGAAGCAGCCCAAATCCCCAAAAGTAGATGACTGGATTAGAAAGATGTGGTACATATATACAATGGAATATTACTCAGTAACCAAAAAAGAGAAACACATGTCTTTTGCAGCAACTTGGATGGAGCAGGAAAAGATCATGCTTAGTGAGATAAGCCAGAAAGAGAAAGAAAAATACCGGATGGTTTCACTCATAGCAGGAGTATAATGGACCAGGCGAGAAAATAATAATAATGAACAACTATCTATCAGACATTTTGTGGGGGTGGAATGGGATAAAAAATGGAGGTGGGGAGGGAAGTGCACAGGACTATGGTGATGCCACACAGGTGATTTGGTGATGGGAAACCTGTGGGGATTACAATGGAGATGGAAAAAAATGTACAAAATGATGTAAAAATAAACCGTTATAAAAAAAAATACGGTTTGAAATTTACTCTTTTGCATTTAAGTAGTATTTTTTCAACACTATTTGTTGAAAAGACTGTCCTTTCCCTGTTGAATGATCTTGGCCCACTAGTCAAAAGTCATTTAATCATAGAACCCAAGGTTTATTTTTGAGTTCTCTATTCTATATGTCTGCCTTTATGACTGAACTATACAGTAGCTTTTAATTACAGTAGCTTTATATTAAGTTTTGAAACCAGGAAGTATGAGACCTTCCACTTTGTCCTTTTTCAGGATTGTTTTGACTACTTGAGATATGTTAGATTTCACAAAAATTTTAGAATGCAGTGTTATCTTTGATACTGACAAAGAGTATTACCTTCACCAAACTCTCGTCAAATTCCTGGAAAAATCCTCATCTTTAGGCTATAAAAACTGTAAGTTGTCAGAACAATTGTGTTTGCCCACAATGAACTATCTTAGTTTCTAACAGCTCAATTCTAGGATGACTCCAGGCTGCCAAAAGAATGGTATATTTGTTCTAGCCAATACGGATGATAGTCCCTGGCTCTCCTCCCTTGAACACACACTTAAAAAGAGCTTAAGGTTATGTTCCTTTCTTCTGTCCCTTTGTATTGCATATGCATATCTTTCAACTGGGGCAGTGTCTTTTGCAAAGAACTGAAAGTCATTCTTTTGAAATTAAATTAGGAAGGAAAGGGTCTCTGTCTCCAAGTTTCTGTGTGAGAACAGTATATTATCTTCAAAAAGTCATCAGCTAGAAGACACATCTGGCCTAATCACAGCCACACTGACCAACCCTTACCGGACTCTACTGAGGTCTCCTTCAGTAACTCTCTTTCCCTCATTCTCTGTTTAAGTGCCCAGTCACCTCTGCACAATGAAAGTGGAATTTAGTTCATGCTAAATTCCATGTCACATTGTATACTACTCATTAAAATCTGTCCTCGGCACTATGAGTTGTGCCTGGCTTTGGTGTTCTTGGGCAAAACCACTGTCATCTGTGTTTTGGTTGGTTGCTTCCATCTCCTATTTCACTTCTAAAATCTTGTTATTTCAGAAAACATCTCATGATTGGAATAGGCTCTTTGATTTGGGAGGTGATATTTTGCCATTATGGGCCCTCTCCCATACAAAGGTTTTTCTGAGACTTAAACTATTATCAGGTCAAAGTGAGATACCAATGTAGCTTTCAGTGTGGTGCTCAAAGAATGTGCTGCTAAAAGAAAAGACAGTGAAACTAAGGAGGAGTCAGGGCGGCAGATGTAAGATTTCTTACTACTTACTTTGTGGTGGCAGTGGGTTTTCACACTGAGGATGAAGATTTGTGGTATCTGGCGGCTGGGCTGATCTTCCCATTCTTCGGTTTTCTGTATGACTTGGGGTGAGCTTCTTAGTTTGTAAATGACTCAGACCTCTATCTGCAAAACAGTAATGAGAATCTTTGTATGTTGTTGAGATTTATAGGTGCTAATGCATTTGGATATTTGCACTGTGGTTAGCATATACTGGTATCTATATTGGCAAGCATAATTCTGGGTAAATTTTCATACTACAGGGCTGCTGACTTTGAGAAGTGGTTCTTAGCCAGATCCCCACACCTCTATCCTGTACCCCAGTTCTTGTATGCATAAATAAATAAATTAATCCAAAAAATATTGGCCAATAGCTTAAGACCTAGTGAGTAGCATACCCAGGAAAGCCCCGATTGTCAAGGTTTCCATTACCAGCCTTTGGCTGGTCACATACACGCTCAAGTAAAGCTGGAAACAGCGCTCTGGTATGGCACTGTCTTCTGCTTAGAGTAGCCAAGAACATTTCCTAAATGCAGAAGTGGAGAATATGACAGTCACCACAAACTGGTTCACTCAAGATTCACTTTATTTTATTCATCAACCCATCCACCAAGTCCAGATAAGAAGAGTGATCATGCAAGATCCCAAGCAAACAGGTTTACTGTATACATCGTTATTTCACTGAGACATGGGCCACAGGACTGTGGGAGCAAAGCATTAGACAAAGACAAAGAAACATTTGAACTTGGCCCTCAACCCTTTCATCTTCCTTACTGTAAACTGACAGAAGCTTTTTTTTTAAAGATTTATTTATTTATTCATACAGAACTGGGGTACAGGCCAGAGATGCGGATGGTGAGAGGATTCACCAGAGACAGAGTGGGGAGCAAAACAGGCAGAAGGATGAAGTACACTGCTGAGAGGAGCAGCGGGCGGGTCAGGAGAGGTCTGCCACGCCATGTGGTCACCTCCGGGCAGGCGGGGATCGAACTCATGCGCAAGTGGCTTTTGCTTCTTAGTGCTGTGCTTTAACCCGCTGCGCCACCAGGAAGGGCCCGACAGAAGCTTTTACTTGTTATAACCATCTCTTAACAAACCTGAAGAAAAGGGTTACTTACTAGAAATGAAGGGAATGATGTGTGTAAGTTAGTTGAATTACTCATAGGAATTCAAATCTGCCTTTCTTGTGACTTCTTATGTGTGGATGATAAACTTACCTCACACTATGAATTGAAGAAACTAGTCTTCTCTTTATATGAGCAGAATGAAATTATCATTAAAAAGAGAGAGAGAGAGAGAGAATCTGGGCCCTCCCTGGTGGCACAAAGGGTTAAAGCACAGCACTATGAAGCTAGCCATCCCCGCCCAGGGAGCTGACCCACATGGCATGCAGTATATGTCAGTATATGTGAGTCAATCTGCCAGTTCTGCTCCCCACTCTGTCTCTGGTGAATGCTCTCACTCCCCCCCCCCACCTCTGGCCTGTACCTCAGATCTGTATGCATGAATAAATGTTTAAAAAAAGAGAGAAAAAATCCAGTCAGACTTATCAGTTCTATTTGTTTCACCAGAAACCCTCCAGTTCCCTTTAAATATGGGAAACATCTTGCTTCTGTTCTTTGCTACATCAATGCTGATGTCTAAGTAGTTTACAAGAATATAAAGGATATAGGTTTGGTCTTCACATGCAGTGAAATTGGGATGTATAGTGCCAGACTCTGACAGGGTGGGCATCTTTGACTAAGATCAGCGCTTAATTCCTATATACAGTGTTCGTCCCCAGAGCCCTTGATGATAGTCATACACTTTGGAGTAAAAGTATCCATAAAGCATCAAAGATTTTGCTGTGCTGGCTACTTTCATTTCATAGACTTAGAACATATGATCTCCTCCCCCAACTAATTTTTAAGCCATTTGATCATGGAGTTCCGTACTTGCTTGACTGGCATGTTACTGAGTCTCAGAAAGGAATCTTATGAGAATGCTTCCTCCATAAGAAAATGCATTATTTTCCACACAATCTTTCTGGTTTTGTAACCTTCATGTCACAGCCCCTATCTAAATCTTAATCTGCTTGTTGGAACCCTAAGTTTTTTCTGTCTTCATCTTACTTTTGTGTCTCTTGATGGTTTGAAGTAAGGAAATCTCTGTCCAACTGGGTCGAACAATCTCATCCTCATTCTTCAGGACAGCAGTTTATTCATAAGACAGAGAAGTGTCAAAGGTTTACCTGAAATAATAGATATTGATGAATCAGCTAAATAATAGAAAGCAGATAAATAATTGGCTAAGTCAACCAAAATTATAATATATCAAGTGAAAAGCACAAGAACACTTTTAAATACTTTGATAACTGATTGAAATGAAAAAAAAAAAAGACTAATGCCATTTTTTTGCAAGGTCATATCACTGAAGTATATGCTGTCTACAACAGAAGCATGTGCACACATTATCAGAAACATTTAAAAAAATTCTTTGAAAATTATCTCAGTATTCATTCACCAAAGCACTGAGAAAATAATACATAGCTATGTCATGGGCCATCTCTACATGGGAATGTCATGCAGGTATTTAAAAATGAGATGGAAGAAATCATAGGTTCATGGGGAAAGAGAAAGACAAATATTATGATGAAATTCATACTTCAGGGTAGAGAATGGCTGATCTCTGTATTCAGAGTGAATCTTAGTGCTCTGTCCACATAGATTAATGCTTTTGTCAACATTTCACATAAGAACACATGAAGTCATATAATTAAACACTCACAGCTCTTTTAAAGCATGAAAATCGGCAAATTTTGCTTTATGACCCCTTGAAAATTTGCTGGACCTCTCCTATTCCAGCAGGACGTATATTAGGAAAAAACCCCAGATAACATTAAAACAGGATCTGTGCAACATCTGCATTTCCTTAAAGAAAGTGATATTCCCATTTCATTAGTAGAGTGATGCTTGAAAAGATTAAATTTGAAAAAAAATTCTTTGAATGAGAATGCATTTTTTAAAAATGGGACTACAAGGCACAATACATAATACAAACATAGGAATATAGTTGTAGGTGATATTAAGTTCACTAATAATATTAGAACTTACACATGCATGGGAAGGATATTTGCATGCCAAAACAAAAAGCAAGGACAAATATTACAAGCAAGACCCGAAGTGTAACGTACGGCAAGCGGTGTGATTTCTTTACAAAAGTTCTTTACACAAATTCGCCAGTAGACACAGGACTCGGAGCAGCTGGTTTTGCCTGTGCTGCGGACCCTGCAGAGGCCCCTCAGCGCTGCACCGCCTGGAGGCCCATGGTCGGTGGGCGTGGTCCGGAGCAGGGGGCCCGGCTGACCGGTGTTCTGCGCTTGCGTGGAGGAGCCCCAGGGACGCCCCTCCTGGGGCTCCTGCCACCTCTGGCTGTTGTTGGCACAAAGATTTGAAAGCCCTGGAGGATCCAGAAAGCAGGGAAAGAAAAAGAGGAGACGTGCAATCGAATAAGATTCACTGAGAATTGCTAACAGATTAGAGCAAAAATGTTGGGGCGAAAAGGGGGGGGTGCTTCAGATTCATTTATCAGGACGTTAGAGACATACACGTCAAAAGTGGTGACAAATTGTGTCCTGTTTGGGTACAAAAATCGGCTGGAAAGGTTGGGGGGAGGGAAGTTGGAGAATTTTAAATATGGAATGGGGAGCCTGATTTCAGAGAATGGTCCGTCTCATTTTTGTTAGCAGTGGTCGGGGTATCGTGGTTACAGAGAAAACCCTGATGCTGTGAAAATGCAGCGAGATGTCATGATTGCTTATATACTCAAAGTTTCCTGCTACACATGCAGATACGTGAATTCACTACAGTTAGCAATGTGGATCATTTTCAATCCAGGCAGTTGAATATAGATGTTTAACTGCCGCCACCCTTTTTCTTTCTTTGTCTTAAGAAATCTATTTTCACTATAAATATTAAATGCAAGGAAATGTTACTCGCCAACTTATATACTAAACGCTAATGGTAAATCATTTACAGACGGGTTCCTTCTTTGCTCCGCAGCTGAAGAGCTTTTTCGGCTCCTTTCGCGTTAAGGCCGGTCCCCGCCTCCAACCAGTGGGCACTAGATGGCGCTGTGAGCTGGACATTGAATTTTACCTTCACTGGACCCACCTACACGTGTACGGGGCTGCGGGGGTCAGGAGTCTGCACTCGGTGGGGAGAGGGACAAGCCTGCGCTCCCGCGGCCCCCGCCTGTCCAAGTCCCTGGGAGCCCTCTCTGTCCCCTCCAGTCTTTGTTCCCGGTGCCCAGAACACCCCCTGGTGATGTCCAGGGACCGCACTTGTCCTGGCTGTCTTCCAGACAGGCACACCTCTTGGCTTGGGGTAACTAGCCCAAGTCACAGGACCGAGACAAGGAAAATTCTGCGGCACCACCCATCCTCAGTGGGCTGCCCCCCCCCCTCCTGACTTTGCCCCTCGTGTCTACCTGCCCAGCGGGCCATGCTCTGCCCTTAGGCTCCTCAGGCTCTCAGTGACTGTTACTCGCAGTCCTGAAAGCCCCAGGCCTTCTCACAAGCCCTGGCCTGTGCCAAGGACGCACTGTTTTCTCTTCTCTGGAGGTGACCTCATCACTGCTCCTCTCACTTCAGCACAGCCTCAGAAATGCTGTGGCCTTTCCTGTGCACCCAGGTCTGAACCCTGACACTGAGGCTCCAACTGCTGTTTTCCACACGGTTTAGTTTTCTGAACCCCCACTAGTCTGAAATCTCAGAGAACATGTTAGCGCCATCTGTGACTCCCCAGAAGACCTCTCACAGATAGGAAACAGCCAGCATCAGAGAGGGCTCTCCTTTCATTGGTTCAAAAGCCAGGCAATTTCCACCTCTCACACAGCCTTTACACCTTCCCAATTATCCCCAATTACTGCAACTGCAAATAAGATTTGAATGTGAAGTTGCTCTTCAGCAAGTCCTGCCTCTCAACAGAGAATGCTTCTTCACAGACAGGCTTTCTACCAGAAGAACACCGTGGTATAAATTGTCCCTCTCATTTCCTTCATATTGGATAGTAAAAATGACTGAATGGATCTCTCAAACACCTCACCTATTTATTTTGAAAATAATTGAACTTAAGGCATTTCATTGGCTTCCTACCACTTTCATGACAAGACATGAACCCTGGTTTCCAACTTTGTCTGACTGTCTGATCTTTGTCCCTAGAACTCCTTTTTAAGACCACACAAAGGGTCTTCTTCCTTTATCTGCTTCTTTCTTTTTGGACAGTGTTTCCCCCTTAGAGCAACTGAAGTTTTGGTCTCCAAAAGTAGCAGTAGCTTCTTGATAAATAATTCCGACTCATTCTATAATTTATCAATTTTAACATGGGTGTTTTTGTTTATGAATCTTATCACAATTTCTGTTACCCTGCTGATACTCATGACATGATTTTTATTGTCTGCACATGGATAAAGATTGAAGCCTTCTGTTGTTACCTTCTGGCAATAACACCTACATCAAAACATGCACACATATACTGAGCTGCCCTTTTTATTAACATATGTTTTATAGTCATCACTCTTCATGCCACAAAAAGTGATTTATATATATATATATATATATATATATATATTCACATTTATCTTTACATTCTGAATGAGATTTTGATCCAGTCATGGATATATGTGTGTGTGTGTGTGTGTATATATGTATATATATTATATATGTATGTGTAAATATATATATATATATATATATATATTTGATCCAGTCAAGATCTCATTCAGAATGTGAAGATATATGTGAATTCACTGATTGATTTCAATTTTGCCTTCATTTTTGGATGAATGGGACGTATGCTTTTACAATTCCAAAAATCCTTGCTCCACAAGTAAAAAGGAAATGCTATTGGGTGTACAAAAGTTCAGTTGACAGAGATGTTCTGTTATTTTTAGATGAATCTTAAAATGAATTCATTCACATAAGGTGGATGTCTCCCATGGAAACGCCTACCACGAGTACATAGATGAATTCTCACAGCTCTTTCGTGTGACACATGCTAGTCCCATTTATATGTCCTTATTCCTGAGTTGCACTCACATTGTCTCTGATTCAATTTAATTCTGCTAACTGGATACCTACAGTCAGGAGCACTGTAGTCCTGGAACAGTATCAGAAGGAATGGAACTAGATGTATCGGAAAAATAATAGGGGTTGGATATGCCACCCCACACATAAGTCCAAAAATGAACAAAAGTTACGAAACAATGCTAGTGAAGCTACTGTACATTGAACAGTGAAGAACAGTGACCCCTGAGAAATGTGAAATAACAATGTTTAGTCTTACTAGAGCCCAGGGAACTGTTTCTAGGGTGTTCCCATGTCGTGGTGTGGCAAGATCCTTTGCAGACTTTCTTAGTCAAAAGAGACCTGAGAGTCTGGAAAAATATGTGACCTGTTTACCCACAACAGAGTTGCAGAGAGGAGATAACTAATTGAGGCAAGAATTCTAAAGGGTGGCAGAGAACCTAGTGGTATACCTGAGATAGGAAAGTTATTCAAAGTCAGGCAAAGAACTCAGAAGTGGTGCAGATTTCAGAATTAACATTAAAACAGATGCTCTCTTGATACCCATAACTAAAGCAGTTTTTGTAACTACATTCTATAAAACAATGGGAAATGGATGCAGACATGAAAAAGGTCCAAATAAAATGTCTAGAGATGAAAAGTTCAGTATGTTAAAAATATCCACAGAGGCCCTCCCTGGTGGCGCAGCGGGTTAAAGCACAGCACTGAGAATCTAGAGCCACTTCCTCATGAGTTCGATTCCCGCCTGCCCCGGAGGTGACCACATGGTGTGGCAGACGTCTCCTGACCTGCCCACTGCTCCCCTCAGCAGTGTATTTCGTTGATCTGCCTGTTCTGCACTCCACTCTGTCTCTGGTGAATTCTCTCACCCTCCGCATCTCTGGCCTGTACCCCAGTTCTGTATGCACAAATAAAATAAAAATCTAAAAAAAAAAAAATCCACAGAATAGGATTAACAGATTAGACTGCAGAAAAAAAGATTAGTAAACTTGAAAATATGACAACAGACATCATTCAAATTAATAAAAAGAGGGAAAATCAACAGAATTCAAAAGAACATCAATGAACTGCTGAATAGCTTCAGCTTCAGAAGCCTAATATAACTAAAGAATGCAGTCTAAATTTGAATTTTAAAATATGTAAACACAAATATTCAGAGAGTCATGAGCCCTTCACACACATTTACATGTACAAAATGATCAAATTTCTCCAAGCCAGTGATTAAAAAGGTTACCAGACAAAAGGAGACATGTTGATAAAGATACACAGAAATAAAGACAGTAGCAGATTTATCACTGGAAAAATACAAACAAGATGAGAGTTTTGTGATGTCAAAGTAATGTAGAGTCCTAGGGAAAAAAAAAGCTTTTAAAAACAAAGTACAAATAAATATTTTTCGAACCACCCCAGTGGCGCAGAGGTTAAGTCTCAGCACTCTGAAGCTATCATAGCCACTGCAGCACAAATTCCGTCCCCAGCCAGGGAGCTGATCCACAGGGCCTGGCAGACATTTCCTGCTTCACCTGCTGCTCCCCTCAGCAGTGTATTTCAGTAGATCTGCCTGTTCTGTTCCCCACTCTGACTTGGTGAATCCTCTTGCTCCGTGCACCTCAGTTCTTGTATGCATAAATAAATAAATCTTAAAAAAAATTTGTCCATGTGTATGTAGTGAAATAATTTATTACTAAAAGATTCTTACTATATAAAAGATTAACTTTCAAAGTCAAAAGATCATAAATTAATTCAGTAGAGTGCTGGCTGTACACTGAACACACACACAAATGAACTAAATCATCTCATGCCTTATGCACAAAATAAACTCAAATGCACAATTTATCTAAATGTAAAACTGCAAGACTTTTCTTAAAAACATATGGAATGTGGTCCTCCCTGGTGGCGCAGCGGGTTGAAGTACAGCACTAAGAAGCTTAAACCACTTTCCCATGAGTTCGATCCAGGCCTGCCCCGGAGGTGACCACATGGCGCGGCAGACCTCTCCTGACCCGCCTGCCCGCTGCTCCCCTCAGCAGTGTATTTCGTCACTCCCCACTCTGTCTCTGGTGAATCCTCTCACTTCCCCTGCATTTCTGGCCTGTACCCCAGTTCTGTATGCACAAATAAATAAATCTTAAAAAAAAAGAGAAACATATGGAATGTTTGTTTATTGTTAGGAGAAGAGATTGTAGCTACAGC